AGATGTGTATAAGCGTGAACAATAAGAGCTTAAACTTGGTTGCACGTTCGGCGGAAGAAGCAAAGGCTTGGGTCGAAGGATTGAAGTATGCAATGGCTCATTCCAAAGCTATTGACATCCACAAACAACAACAAATGTATCCTTCCATCATTTTTTTTGGCTAACAATAACATTCACTTACTGATTAATGGAAAGTTCCTGTGTTTATATAGTATGTGTGTGTTTTATGTATTTGTATAACTAGTGTATTATATCAGGAACTATTGTACAATATTCAAATAATTTTCTGAGTTAAAGGGAAAAAAAAGAAACTTTCATAATTTAATAATTTATAAGTTTAAAAATACTGACAAACCGAAAGAAAGAAAAAGTTTGACAACAACATTTAATGTATCCAGTGACTTCACTACTTTACTACCACCAATCCACCACTACTACTACCATCATAATTGTCATTACCGCTGTATTACTATAGTACTACTGGTACTGCTACTATTGCTACTACAGTACTATATTAATCAGCTGTCAGCTGTTGGCATCCTCTACTCAAAGCATGAGTAGTCCAGTTAATATTGATCTCCACACCTTTCTCTCATAATCATAATAAATATGATTTGTATATAGTTCACAGGCTATATCACCAGAGAATGCAAAAGATTATATACAAATATGTGTTAACCCATAACACCAATTTATTAAACAATTTTATTAATAACATATTCTAGAAAAAAACATTTAAAAACATGAAAGTAGAGGAGCACCATAATTTCCCAGCATGTTGAGGCCTAATGAGGGCTTCACTCAAGGGCCTTGCCAGCTCATCATTCACAGGAGTACTAATTATACTGGTAGCTATTCCTAAACAAACATAGGACAATTATAAGTTACTACCACTACTATTGCATGCTACTGTTATCATTGCTACTACTAATTCAGAATACAACTGCTGCTGATATACTGTTACCTCATAGATATTCATTAGGTACTGTATAACAACGTTTTATTGGTCAGTTCCACATTGTATTCGATACAGTAGTTTGTTTATACTTCTCCACGCCAGGGAGACAGTATTCCTCAACTGACTACCGAAGTGTTGTCCAGTAATTAAATGTCATTTTGAAATTTGATATGTCTACTTCGTAAATACTTAATAAATAAGTATAAACCAACTAATTGCCTATTCTCTCAAGAGACAGAATGTCCCTGGAAACAAACACAAGTGATATATATAATTTTTTGTATTTAAATTTATTTTAGGCTCAATTAAGGCCAAGAATATACCAAAAGGCAAAATTCATCACTTTCCTATTGTTGCAATCCCTTTACAAAGAAAAACATTCACACATACTCAACATATAGACTAAGTCCATTATGAAGCTTAGGGAGTGGAGTTGTTTTTTGAGAAAAACAAAATCCTATTACTGAGACAGGAGTTGAACTTAGGGACCTGGGATTGGAAAGCAAACATTGTAACTATACTACTAACAAGCTATTCAACTCCACAAAATTATTAAACTTTATAAGCTTGGATAATAAGAAAATTGTAAATACCGAGTGTAGATAGCGGTTGCTAGTGGGTGGTGGTTATGCCTCTTATACACATCT